TCTGGTGCAAATTACTGACCTCTGTCATCATTTTAAGTGGGGGAACTTGCACAATCGGTGGCTGACTAAATACTTTTTTGCCCCACTGTACCTGTCAGGCTGAAAATATTCAACACATAGAGATAAAAACTGCTGTGTGGTCATGGCTCCATTAAATTCAGTATCTATGGGCACTGGTTCAGCTCAGTGGGATGATCAGACAGCCATATGCTGCACGGTTGAGTGCGGCCGGCCCGGGTTTGAATCCGACCTGCGGCCCTTTGCTGCATGTCCTTCCTGTCAGTCTTTAATGTCCTTATGAGAAAAAAATCACTATTTAATGTAGAAAAAGAATCAGAAAATATCACCCTACTCAGACTTGCATGATGTCATCAACGCCCTCAGGGTCAGAGGTCACGACCATGACACCTGTGGTCAGCGAGCGCTTGATGAGAGGCGAGGGAGCTGCAAGGCAAGAGAGGCCATTCTTACTGTTGTTAAACAGAGTGACGCTTCATCACAGCGCGTACGTTTGAAAACATCTGAACGTATAAATAAACAGTCTGTATGTAAACAAAACAAAGGAACAAACAGCTTTGCTTCTTTATACGACACAGGTTAGATGCTCCGTGTTTTCTCCCTGCTGTACCTATCAAATGTTCTTTAGTTTCACAGAAATTAATGCAGACGTCAGAAGCGTCGATCCAGGCATTTAGACTCAAAAGCACAGATTTCCATGAGCTCAGGCTTTGTGTGTTTTAAGCCTGTTGGGAATAACATTTACTCCGAGTTCGAGCACCTGGATTTCTTTTTTCAGCATGTTTGAAAACAGCCTCAGTAATCCGAGAAAGTTAACGTGTGCATGCGTCAGTTCAATTCAGCTTCATTTATAAGCCACCGAATCACAACAGCAGTCACCTGACGCTGCTTAATACTGAAAAGTAAAGACCCCACAATGATGTTCTTATTTCAGATCTGGGCCCTGTTTCAGGAAGCCGGTTTAGTGCAAACTCTGAGTAAGTATACCCTGAGTTAACGGAAACTCTGGGTTTTCAGTTTCACAAAGTGAGTTCAGATTAATTCTGAGTGAGTTACTATGACGACACACTCCGTGAAGCTAACCTGCCCCCTAGCAGGTTTACTTCAACTAACCCTGACTGTCTCCGCCTCTTTGTCAGAAACCTGACAGTAGGAAGTGTCAGACATGGCGTGCTCCTTCCTTGAAGAGCCAGTAGATGTTGAAGCCCAAATTCTCCGCAGAGCTCTCCGCCGGGAGAGAGTGATCAGAGCGCGTTTGGACATTTTATCATTTCCCGATGATTTCCTGTGTGAACGTTACCGTTTCTCAGCACAATCTATAAGTTATTTGAATAACATCCTCAGGCCTAATATTGCTCATGTGACACATCGCGGACATCCTCTCAGTTCTGTACATATTATTTGTATTGCACTTCGTTTTTTTGCAAACGGGAGCTTTCTGTATAATATTGGTGACGCTGAGCACGTTTCCAAGGCTACCGTCTGTCGGGCAGTCAGGAATGTTACAGTTGCACTGAAACGTCTCCTGTACTCGTTTGTGGTGTTCCCCGGTCACAGACCCACAAGATTCATCAAAGAGGGATGCCACAAAATTGCAGGTATCAGGATGAACGAAACTTAATTCATGATGTGGTGATATTTGAACTACTACTTAAATTTTACATTTATTCTCACGGTTCCCAGGCGTGATTGGCTGTACAGATGGCACTCACATTCCAATCATTGCTCCTTCAGTAAATGAAGGAGACTATGTGAACAGGAAGTCTTTCCACAGCATTAATGTGCAGGTACATAGTTCCCTGTAGCATTTCAAACTAACAACTTATTTCATTATAGTAATGGATGCTAATTTGTGTTCTCTGCACTGTGAAGATCATATGTGATGCTGCCAACATCATCACAAATGTGGAAGCCAACTGCTCAGCCTCTGTGAGTGGTGGTGGTGGAGGACCCCCACCTGTTTTTCAGGCCTCCGCTTTTTTTTCTGTTGGCTATAACGGGTCACATATGATCATACAGAGTAAGCAAATATGTACTTGTAATGTGCTCAGATAATTTCAATAAGTGCTTACAGAGGGGAAATTAATGTAGCCTCTAACTGCAATTGATTTACAAACAGACCAAGCACTATGGCTCATAATACAATTACACCTCACCTGTTTGGACTATATTTTTATATTTCATTTTTACTTGCTGCCAGGAACGTTTGGGGCCTGTTGGGTTGCACCTGCCCTCACATCACATCACAAAATAAAATGTATGAAATAAAAAATAAAATATAATAAAATAACGTGTTAAATGGGTGGAAATCCCTCGATCAATGTTTAAATTAACACTCACGCATTGACTCTGTCGGCTATGTTTTGCCATGCATGCTTCCTTTCTTTTGCAGCTGAGGCTGTGTTACTTTTTTTCTGCAAAATTTGCATGTTATCGGCATATGCTGCCATCAGAATTTCGGCCTCAAGCGCTGTAAAATACATTGACCGCGCCTTCTTTCCCTCCGTCTCCATGGTGACTCGCTTAATCTGTGCTCCACTAATCAGGGCTTTATGTATCCTCGTGCGCGCGCTTAACTTGGGGTTAAAGCAACTCCGCGTTGATTGAACTACTTGTTATCAGCCTTTCTGAAACCGAATATTCCGAGTTGGACAGTTCGGGGTTACTCAACCCTGAGGATCGTTTTTCACTCTGAGTTTTCTAAACCGGCTTCCTGAAACAGGGCCCTGGTCATTGCTCGTGTCGCCTGCATTACTTTCTCTTCATGCTGGACATGAACTCCTCAGATGTGTTTGTATTGTTGTCTTTGCGACTTTGATCTCACCTGCAGCCTTTTGTTGTTGTTCTTGTTGTTGTTGTCATGGTTGCTGTTGTTGTTGTTGTTGTTGTCGTGGTTGTCGGGCTCTCTGAGCTTGTCGTTGTCTCTCCTGACTTCTCTCCCTCCCTGCAGCTGAGATCGTTAGTGCGGCCATCTTGCAGACGCTGATCTTCTCCTTGCTGCTTCCGGCTTGGCTTCCCGTGCTCCTGATTGGCCGATCGCTGCTGCTGATGACCCTGCCCCCGGTGTTATTGGTCCTCCCTGAACTGCTGATCCTCCCTCCAGCATGACTGCTGAGTCTATCACTGCTACCAGCGACTTTGGATCCGCTTCCTGCGCCGGTTATCCGGTTCCCAGCAGCCTTTGAACTGCTTAGCCACCCCCCACTGCCCCCGATCCTCCCCACGCTGTGCCCACTCGCTGAGCTGTAAACAGGTTTCCATCCGCCGCTGCCCGTGCCGGTGAATCTCCCCACGCTGCTGCTGCGCCTCACGACACTGGCCGAGCTCAGCCTGCCACCACTTCCAGCACTGTTGAGTCTACGCCCACTGCTGACGTAGCTGCTGGGAGGACTGACCATCTGGCTGCTGCTGACCCTGTCAGCACTATCAGCTCTGCTCACACGACCAGGACTCCCACAATACACTGTCCACGCCCCACTGCTGAACCTCCCTGCTCCTGGTGTTCCTGGTGGGCTTGTTGCTATGTGCGTGGCTGCTGAGCGACAGTCTTTGCTATCGCTGCTCATGCATCCAGCATGCCAACCGTAAACCTTCAACTCCCCACAGCTAAATATCCCAGCTCCTGGTGGGGTTGTGGCTGAGTTTGTGGCAGGTGAAAGGCGTTCTTTGCTCTCAGCACTCAGCGAGCTATCGCTGCCAGCCCAGCTGTTCTTACGTCCAAGACTGCCTTCGTAAAATATCCACTCTGCACTCCCTCTCCTCCCAAATCTCCCTGCTTCTGGTGGACTTGTCGCAAGATTTCCATTCATGGATGAGTTTTCTCCACCCCTTTCATTGGGTAAGCTAGTCCCAGCGTCTAAGCTGTTCTGGCGTATAAGACTGTCACCATAAACCATCCACCCCCTACTTCCAAATCTCCCGTCTTCTGGAAGATGTTCCTTGCTCCCTGAGTTAGGTAAGCTGACACTCATATGTCCCAAGCAGCCACCATAAGCCATCAAGTCTCCACTGAATCTTCCCTTTACCGCTGCTGTACCCACTTGTGCATCTCCACTGTTGCTAAAACCTCCTGGCTTGCTAAAGGCCATTCCTCTGTTGGAAAGGGTATTTCCAAAGCTTGCTTCTTCGGCATTACCTGTTTGGTTCTTCGCTTGCCAGTCACTGTTTCTCTGCCCCCTCATACCTCTATTCATAGTCACACCTCCTATCTTATCTTCATCTGCAGGACCACTTACATCTTTGCCTCTGGACCTTCTTGCATCTCTTCTGCGATAAAGGCCTCCAAAACCAAGCTGTTCCTCTCTGTCTGCTATGATACTTCGTCCATCTCCAAACACCGAGCCTCCATGACTGCTGCTCACCTGAAGGCTGCTTCTCTGACTGGTTGGTCTAGAACTTATCTTTGTGCCATTCAGCTTAATTCCCCTTCCTTCATAACCTTTAAATGGCCTAAAAAGCACACCCCGGTTTCCCTCTGACGTTATGACTTTCGTATCTCTGTCTTCTGGCAATGACCCATCTCCACTAAACGATACCGACTGTCCGTCCTCTTTTGTTGACAGAATGAATTTCTCTCCTGGGTGAACACGTGCATTTGCCTCAGTTAGATTCAGCCTTCCTGCCTCTTCTTTTACATCACTATCTGGACTGAGACATACGTCTGAGTCATTTGGGCTGAGGTAATTTTCTGGGTCATTTGGACTCGGAAGTAGATCAGGACTTGCAATGTGGTCTTCCACATCTACTGGGCAAAACACCTGATCTGTAAGGTTTAGCATGACCTCGGTCTCATCTGGACTCACACATATTTTTGGGCTCAAGCAGCTAGGTGAATTTGTTTCACCAACTGACAAATGGACTTCTTTTGGACTTTGTAGCTCTTCGTAAGAGGAACAGCTCAAACCGACACCAGAATCTGTTAAACTTGTAGATATATTTGACGCCTCTTCACCTGAAAGATCACCTGTCTCCTTCTTAGACTCGACTGGATCCAGCTTTACCTCGCTGGCATTGTTGACTGTTTTCATTTCATCCACTTCTGCCTTTAAACTATCTGTATGTTGGATATAACACTTTTGGTTTTCCTTGCTTTCTGGAGAAGAAATGCCGACACTGGTCCATGAATCTGCATCCTTCACAAGTTTGTTGTTGGACATATTTGTTAAACTTTTATCTAAACTCAGGACAATCAAAGTATCTTCTGCTTCTTCCTTTCTGTCTACAAGCCCATCATCCACCTCAGTCATATCCTCAGTTGGGTTTAAACATATGTGTGGATCGTTTGGTGTGAGATCCGGTTCTGGCTCAGTGGAACTCTTCACTGAACACTTTTCTGGATTCAAGCATGCATCTGGCTTTGTTGGACTCATTGATTCCTCTTCTCTTGGACTCTGATGCTCTTCAGGGCTGGAGGAACTTAAAGCCACACCAGAATCAGTTAGGCTTATAGACATTTCTGAGTTTGTAGCACTGAAATATATCTCCTGACTTTGCAGATTTATCAGCTCATTTTCTGATTTAAGATGGTTCATCTTCACTTCCTTGCAGTCGTGGAGTTCTTCTACTTTGTCTACTTCTTCCTTTACGTTCTCAGCACTTGTAGTTTTACTGTGAAGCTTGTTATTAATTTCTGAGATACTAGACAAAAAATGTTCATTGTCATGCACTGCAGGTTTGTCTTCTATGAGTTTCTTCAGTTCAGTTTTGGACAATCCCAAACTCTGATCAAGGATTAGAACATCTTCTGTGTCTACTGTTTCAGACCTTCCATTTGTTCCTTTATCGGTTTCTTTCATAAGGGCTACCTGAACCTTACTTGATCTAAACACTGGAGGAGATCCTGGCTTGTGCACTGTACTGACATTTTCATCCATGTCCCTGACAGCTTCTGGTGGAGTCTCAGCCTCCCTGATGATGATCTTTGTTGGATCTTTTTCCTTTGCTTGGAAGGAGGCTTCAATTGGATCCATCTGAGTAAAGATGAAAGCTTCTCTCACTTTTACCTCAACAGCAACTGGTTTGCAGAGATGAAACGAGGTCTCATACATTACAAAATGTGTTTTTTGAATTACGTCTGGTCCTGCAGAAGGAGTGTTTTTGTTAGTTTCCATGTCTGTCCCTGTGTCAGTAGAGAGTGAACCAGCTTGTTTGGAAGTAAAGGTCTTGACCAAAGCTCGCACGTCTCGGCTAGTTTGAGCCCCAACATCACGATCTTTAGTAAGAACTTCCACAGGGCTCCTCTGTCTGCTGCCTGTCTCTGTAGATATGATGGACTTGCACACTTTTTTATAAAGCACTACTGTTCTCTGGTTTTCAGAGTTTTGGATGGTCTCCATCAGAGGCTTGGTCAGTGTTCTAGGTGAGTTATTTGGATGTTTGTTGTGGACAAAATCTGACTGGGCTGCAGTCGCTGTTTTCGGTGAAACTATTGGTGTTTCTTCAAGAGTGTGAACGCGGCCGCCATGAACACTGACGGTTCTGTCCACAGTCTTGTTGCTCCTGAATGTGGGTTTTCTGGTCTCAAGACAGGAAGATCTGACATCTGGCTTGGAGTTAAAGTCGACATGTGAAACTCTAAAAAGATAAAACAAGACAAAGGCAAGAGCAAAAAACTAAATTTTAATAACTGAAAGGGGACGTATTTATCTATTCCTCTATCATCATCTCATACCCCTGACGGTCCGCGCTGTCCAGCAGCTGCTTGTAGTCCTGTATCTCGGCCCCCAGTTGGTTCTTGACGTCCAGCAGTGACTGCTGGTCTGCAGCCTGCTGTGCTGCAGCCTGGAGCACCGAGTCCAGGTCTCTGCACAAACCATCTGCTGACTCCTGTAGGACCACCAGCTGCTGGAGTAATGACTCCTTCTGCTCCCGACCAGAGGACTCCAACACCAAGACCTGGACAGACAGGAAGATTCATTCTAATCCTGTTTTTTATCTTGACTCTGATGGTTTTGGTTTTGTCTTTTAGTCCTGACTTTGAGAAAACTCTGGAGTTGTTTCTAGTCTGACCAGCTTTTGGCTTCAGCTGTTGATTGGCTCTTTGGGGGGAGGAGTTCATAAAACACGTGTTATTGTGAAGATTATCTTGCTAAACTAAAGCATCAACCCAATCTAGAAGACTGGAAAAAACTAAATGACATGTGGCTGAAGGAACCAGAGGAACTCATAGGTGGGCCTACAGGTTCCTGGTCAGAACATCGGAGTGCTGGTGTGTGGTTTGATCTTACCGCAGCCTGAAGTCGCGTCAGTTCTGCTGTCAGACAGCACACTTCTCTCCTCATTGCTTCTAGCTCGGCTCTGTCAGCGTCTGACCCCAATGAAGGGTCAAAGGTCACCTGTGAAATGCTCTGCATGGACAGCTGAACACAAAACACCTGTTAAAATGCTTTTGCATTATTATCCTTATTAATGTTTCCTTCATGTTAAAATACAGGTGTGCAGGTGTGCGTGTGCCTACCTGAGTCTTGCACCTGGGTTTGCTCTTGTTCTTGTCCAGGTGTCCAACACTCGTCTGTCTCAGGTGGTCCACCTGTTGGATCAGGTCTGAAGACTCAGTGATGTGCATCTCAGCACATCACTGATATCTGGGCCAGGAGAACCTGCATATCCTACACAGGTAGGCAGGAAAAGGGGTGTAGGTTTTTTTAAGCATCCAGGTGAGATTGTTTTACCTGCTGGTGTTGAGTCTGCAGATCCGCTTTCTCTTGCTTTTGCTCATTCAGCAGATTCTGAAGCTCAGGCAGACTGTGAACTTTCAGGACCTCCCCCAGCAGCCCGAGGTCACTAAGCTCCGCCTCCAGCTGAGTACACTGCTCACGCACCTTTTGGCACCTGCACACACAGCAAAGGATCATGGGACATGTCTTCATTTATCTGTTTAGTTGTTCAGCTATATTTGGCCACAGCCATGTTGTTGCGTGTAGGTGTGATCATCCTTGGACGACAGGGTGGAGCGTTAAGTTATCAGAACTACAGATTAAGCTAGCAGACAGCTAGCAGCTACAGCACGGTGATGAAGCGAAGCTTTGACTGGTTTGAATGATGGAGGAGTCGCGTGATTTTCTAGTTGTCACGTTAAATTACAGAAGTGTGACAGTTACATAAACGTGTTGGGATGAAAACCTGCATTTTAAACTGAGCTCATTCTCCTTTTTGAAACTGGCTGCAGACTCTGTGATGGTTTTTATCCCGTACAGGCATCTGCACTCATACACTGACGTGCATTAGAGACCCATGAGGCAGGTATGACTACATCGCTGGTGTGGCTCTACCTTTCTTTGAGGTTGAAGACGGTGAGTTCTGCTTCGAGTAACTGAAGCTTTGCCTGAGCCTGGGCCGAGAGACATTCACTGATCTGTGAGAGACAGAGAGAGAGAGAGAAGCTTTATTCTGTGGTGGAAAGTGGTGCAAACATCTGGGCGGAGAATCACAAATAAATGGTTGATTTCCTTAATGACTTCTCTGGTTTTTACAGGACATGCCAAAGTTCAGGTTTTTAGTCTGTCACATTTTGGACTCGTCCAAACCCGTCTGACCATTAAACACAGGTACAGCATCCTGACACCACCTGAGAAACTCGTTTAACCTTTGATTGTAAGGTTAAAACTGATTAACTGGGGCATGATCTGATATCGTCGTGTTGGTGTTGTTCCCAGATCAACATAGTAAATGTTGATGCAGGATCAACATTCCAAGTGACCAATCAGAATGTTGTGACATCATACTTATGCGACTTCGGGAAAAAACGCCGTAAAACCAAAAACTGTACTTAAGCTACGAGAAACCACCTCTGTCCGCCGATCAACGGACCCTAACCCTTTAATAAACAGTAAGCAGAACTGATATTGTCCTTGCAACATTGGAATTTCATAAATGCATGAATGGCTTGGCGCGCAAAAGAATAACGTCACAACAATGTGATTGGTCACTTGCGATGTTGAACCTGGAACAACATTTTCATGATGATCTGGGAACAACACCAACACGACGATGTCAGATCATCCTTTACTGGGAGCCCTCTGGCACTGACTCACTTCTGGAGCCTCTAGTGGACGTTAGAGGAACTGCAGGCTTTGCCAGTGTTTGGCTTCATTTTCCAGCCTGCAGGTTGATGCCTGGATCAGATTGTTTGGCTTTGACTTGGAACAGAACTGGTAAATGTTTTGATCTCTGGGCTCGACTGAGGACTTCATCATTAAATTATCTCTTTTTTTTTTTTTTTTTTTTTTT